CCCCAAAACCCCAAAACCCCAAAACCCCTTATAATTATTTATTGCTGAAACAAAATGTTGGCTAGCCCTTCAACTATTTCACCACTCTAGAGTCTTTTAGGCTTCTGACATTACTTCATATGGCGTATAAAAATGGTTAGATTTCGTGCAACAGGCTCATGACAGAAGAGATTCCACATTCTGGAGAGACTTTGGGTGCATAGAGCTGGACTTTGTTGAGAATTAGTGGACCTAGAGTTTAATGATTGTATGAGAAATCTAATTAAGGTGTAGAGTCACAATCGATGGAGTAGAGAAAAGCTGGAAAGTAATTTAATTTATTGTCCAAGCGTCAGTCTCTGCGATTTAGCTTTAAAGTTGAAGGTTCGAGAATTGTTGGATTTTAACCAAAACTTGCATAATACCATTTCCTGCTCTTTCAGACTGGATTCGCTTTAATTGAAGCAATCTTTAGTGCTATAACATCCCAATTCATAATAAATAACTCTATAAATAATAGGAAGCCTCTTTTTGCTGTAAATCCGCAACTGCATTACTCTAAAATAGATATTTCGATGGTTCATCAAGTTAAGACCTATTCTAAGCTTGGAAAGACAATAGAGCTTTTATGAGCTCATATATTATAGCCAGAATATAACTAAGTGTAATCAATACTGAATCCCATTCTCGTTTGTCATAGGCTTCAAGAAAGTTAAAACTCCAAGTCTTTTTCCAAATTCTAGCTGTCTGGGAAGCTTTATTGAATAAATAATCTTGAGAATAAGTTTTGACTTTTATTGCTGTTGTTCTCTTCGATAAGCAAATCTTCAGCAGCTTCATCCAACATCCATACAAATATTTAGCGTCTCCAAATGATTCATTGCTAATCTCACTAATCGGAGAATTTCAATTGAGTTATTTATAACTATCATAAGCTTAGCATTCCGATAAAAATCTGAAGCCTCAGGTGTCAAGGCTCTGGGGAATCAACTGATGATTCGGAGTCCAGGTTTGTCAATAAACTACGTCACAGAGCAAGATGCTCGAGTCTGGTATTTGAATGGTGGCAATATCTTTGCTTAATTAAATTATTTGTGGATATAAGGCTTTGCGATAGACGATATCTTGACATTTTAGATGACTCCCCATTACCAAAATTCTCAAATATCTCATGGCCGATATAGAATCCCAATTTTATTCAGAGACTAGCCTCTTCGCATTTGGCCATTATGGAACTTTCATTTTGAGGAGCCTGAGAGTCTTCATTAACCAAGAGTCGAGCTTGGTCATTCACTTCACATATTTTAACGGATTGAGGCTTTTTCTGCCTACTAATTTATAGCCTTAGCATAATTTTAATGAGAACTAGGACCTTAGTAATTTAACATATCATAGGAGTTTGTACTGAATTGATAGGATTAAATTCAGTTGATCGGACATTCAAGCTGGCAGACCCTTTGCTCAGAAAGCAAAGCATACACTTGATTATCATTTAAGTTCTCCTCATTAAAGTATGTTTTTTGAGACCAAGCAACTGATTTACTATAATGAAATCATAAGGTATACCAAGAAAAATTCAATTTGTTTTTATCCTTGAAGATGAAGAGAGCAGAGACCAACGATTAAGATCTTATTGTTATAAAAAAATTCATTGCAACATTTTAGACTTCCTCAGCCTGTTAAAACTCAAAATTATAAGATGCCTAAATGAAGAAATCATTGGCGAATTACAGCAAGCAACCATTTTCCTTATCAATTGAAATTTTCAAGAGCCAAATTAAATCAATCGAAATGGATCTAGAGGTCCTCACAAAACCTATAACGATGGGCGGCCATAAGCATGGAACTAGTATATATGAAGATATTCACAGTCTTAATTATACTGCTTATGTTAAGAGGTTTAATTATCAAGAAGCGGAGAGGTTTGAAACAAAGAACTTTAAAATTTAAGATATTCATCAAATTATTCATCCCTGAAATCATCTTCTCAATTGTCTAAATATTATGTGTCTCGGACTACAGGGTGTAGCTTATTTAAGAATTCTTAAGAGAAAACTATAAAATTATTTTTAACATGGACCAACATATTCTTTCAAATTTTAGAAGCCAAAGTTACTTGCCCAGATGGGGATATAGAGGCTTGGTTTTTCAATTACAAAAGACTTACTGTCTCTGTGCATCACCTGGCGCAAGCTTGATGGGCTTAGATGACTATTGTACGATTCCTGACCATCTCTTATCTTCAACTCTAGTGGTTATCAAGATTCACTCTGACAACAAGTAAGTATCTACTAAAAGATCTACTAAGATATTCTCAAGTTTTGTTTTGTTTCAAAACTAGCAATGACACTACATCATAGTCATCAAGCACAATTTAAGAAGAACCTATTGCTGAGTACTCAACCAGCCGAGGAGGAATCATCAGCTCAAAAAGAAGAGCCTCACCTTTCTCTCCAAACAGAGAATATTCAAGACCAAAGTAAAGAGATTGACATCAAGGATACTGATAACAAAGAGATAGCAATATCAACAAGAAGAAGACGCTGCTCCAGATTTAACATCAGAGCCAGGCTATTCAGACTGAGAAATCGTCTTCTCAAGGACCTTTCAATGTTGTTCAAGTCCACGATTAAGAAGGAAAGATCACCTGAAGATGCATCTCAGAGAAGGAGATCTCGCTTCATCGGAGTTTCCAGAAACAGCTCCAACTGGCAAGCCCTCATCAATGTGAAGAATACCAAAAGATATATCGGAACATTTGGAGATGAACTAGAAGCCGCCAAGACATATGATATATACGCTGTTGCATTGAGAAGAGACAAGGCTCTGCTTAATTTTGATTACACTGCTCAAGAGGTCATATCAGCCATTGACCACTTCCTTGAATACGGAAGTATCAATATTAACGACTAATTTGTCCTAATAATATTGGATGCATGAATAAATCTCCATTATCCCATTCTAATCGCTAAAATGCTTACTAAATCGTCTCCAATTAACTCTTAGGTATCATTGCCAAAAGTTAATCCCTCTCACAATCCTATCACCCACCCAGAATCTTCACCAATACCCTCACAAAGCCATCCTCAAATTACCAAAAATCTTCCTTTGCTAAACCCTTATTCCCTCCAACCCCACTCTTGCTCATTCTCTTAAACTTCCCACTTCCCCTCCAATCATGGTTCAACTGTGGCTCCTGAGCCACCACCACGACTCCTTCAGCCCAAGCTAAGGCAGCCTCGCGAGTGGCAAGGAGAGTCCCAATTAGTGGGCAGTGGGTTGGAAGAGATAATGGCCACTGATGCGCAATGACTGCCCATTTTCTAACTCAAGAGTTATCCCTATTGTAGAATGTAGGTATTCCCAGAAATCAATATTGTAAACTGAAAATAAGCTTTTATTGATTATCTTATGACTCTATTCTTTTTCTAACCCATCTTATGCTACAGCATAACATATTTCTAGAAAGTGCTGGATTATATATCTCCAGAGTATTTTCTCTCAAATCCAACCATAGTCACCATCTATCAAAGACAAATAACCCATCTTTTACCTCCAAACATAAATTGCCAAGTCTCTTTCCCCGGCTGCAATATCTAAGGCCTCCCTCACTCAAGCAACTGCAAGCTCCAGCAGAAGCTCTTGAGTAAGAGTTAAGGCTGTTAGCCTCTGAAGTCTAATTTTATTAAAATGGAAGAGTCTTGCCTTATTACTAATATTGAAAATCAATTAGCTTATTTCGACTCGGGGTTTTGGGGTTTTGGGGTTTTGGGGTTTTGGGG